GAAAGGAAAGGAAAGGAAAGGAAAGGAAAGGAAAGGAAAATGACAAAATATAATCAGCAGTATAAAGAAGAGATGGGAAAAATTATGGGAAGGACACAGGTGAGAAGAGAGGATGTGAAAGGAAACCTCATACCAACTGTAATTGTGCGTATTATGCATCAAGAAAAGAAAACTGTTATGAAATCAACCTGATACAAATAGAGTTACATGAGGGAGGTATATTTGACAACACTGGGAAAAATACTTTTCTCATGCTCCCATGTGCAGCTCCGCTGACGTGATAGGGCCGAGTTCAGATCTGCAGACATACGAGCAGAGCCAGGACATATATCCACTTATTTAGGTGAAAAAAAGGCAGTGAAAGACTTAAGAATAAGATATATCTGACTGTAATCTTTCTTACCTGCTCAAGCATATCTTTTGCTAGGTCTTCTTGTTCATCCATCTTCAGGATTGCTTGTCTGATTTCTTCATTAGACAGCTTCAGCCTTTCAACAGGATCAACATTGTACCATTAGTGCAAAGCTTAAGTGACTCTGACTATTCAGAAAGTAGGAAGCCTGAAAAGCCGCACTAAAATGGCACAAAAGAACCATGGGAATGTCCACTATGAAGCTGCTATTCTAGAGTATTCAGTAAGATGAGTGAAATCAGTTCCAAAGGCAGAGATTTTCTAGATCATATATTTTTATCCTCTTTACCTAATCAAACACACATCAAAAATTAGATGGTGATTAAGATCAGGACCTTGTAGATCAAAAGTGCTTCTAACATCCCCCATATCAGATACTTCCCTTATCAAGTTCTTTTGCTATAGTAAAAACCCGCAAATCCATGTGGCTTGTGACTGTGACCCCACGTTACACTTCTGCTTGTGCATATTAAAGGATCTCCCAGAGTAACAAGCAATAGGGCTGATCTTTCCCTCACAGATCTGAGAAAAGGGTTTCTTGTAAGATGACTGGTTGTGCTAGGTAAGTTCACTCTGTTAGCAGTCACAGCTGAAGGAGGAGTTGACAGCATCTACATATCCATGTTTCATATCCAACATGAAACAAGCTCTGAAAACAAGAGCTTATTAATATTACCTGAGGTATTAAAATTACACTCTCGTCCCACCTGCTCCTGTCCATCTGTGTGCAATGAGTAGGGGTCATCAGTTACAACAAAACACAGAATCAATAAAAAAAAACCCCTCAAAGTCTCTACTTGAAATCCAGGGCAGACCAGAAGCAGTCAAAATTTGTGATTATTGAGAGGCTGTTTGATAGATTACATGAAATGACCTTGGTGGTTCTCAGCCCAGATATCAATGAACAAATGTGCAAGTGACAAATTCTACCCCACGATCCCCAACTCATGACACCCTCATCAGTCATTTCAGGAGAGTAGAGGAGGACCAAATGAACCATAAAGGAAAGGCTATCCACAAGAAAATCTCAATTTTGGGACTGGAACAGGAAAGTGTAAAAAGAAATATTTGAGAAGTGAAGTCTGCAGTCTCCATGGACCTTCTACAATCAATATAATTAATTAACAGCAGAAAGAGAAAATGCAAATATAAATAAGGGACAGGCAGATGCATGAGGCAAAATGTTTTTGTCTTCAGTGCTAAGAAATCCCATGTTGAAATTTGACATTACTGTTGCCATTTGGATGGAATCATATTTTTGGAACTATGTAAAAGCAAAAGAAAGAGCTTTATTTTTACAGACAGGAAATATTACTAAATCTAAGAAACTTAAAACATTTTAATATTGCCCAATATAACCAACAGCTGGAAACTAAAATACAAATCAGCAGACATTCAAAAGCTTTTAAATATTACACCTCTGAACTAATTGCTCTCACTCTGTTCCTAGCTTGTCATTTTGTCTCCTTTTGACAAGGACAGCAAACTGATACCAGCCAAATAAGATAAGGCTACTGAATTTCCAGAAAAGCTACATAATTGGTCCATGCTTGAATGAGATAGAAGGATTAGAAGTTTTACAATGAAAAGGCTGGAAACTTTTTACTTTAGGTCATCGGTTTGACTCGGGATCAAAACAACAAACCTCAGTACATGGGCTTCTGCATAAAGCTCTACAGTCTCAGTCAGAAAACTGAAGGGTTTCTTTTGGCTTTAATAATCGTGAATTGTAAAGTCCATGGTTGTGTGACTCTAAACTGATCAAACCCTGTGACCACGTGAGGGCTGAGCAGCATGTTGGTGGGTGTGGGCCTGGCTCCTAGCAGACACATATACACCCGCTCAGGGAATTTGGTGCCTGCAGTTTTTGAAATGCTATATTTTGTTGGTTATTTTCCCTTTACAGAGTATCTTTACGTTTTCCAGAATCTGGAGTCTGCAGATTAGCTGTGTCTTGTGACACAGGCACACAGTCTGTCAGAGGGGACGCAGTAAGCCAACCCATGAACACCAGGGTGGGGTTATTTTTTGTTGCTGCTTCCACTGAAGATAAGAAGAATGAGGGTGAGTTTCATGTTTTTTCCATGCAAATAACTTGAACAATTACTACACTGACCCATTACACAGTGCAAGCCCCTGTGTGTGCACTTGGGGATGCAATAAACAGGACCAAATAGACGGGTTTGAGGTACGTCAACAGAACAGGTGGTGTAGTGCATATTATTGCTGATCTTGCTGTTCTGTCCAAGAGCCCAAAGACTTCAGACTCCAAGCTCCTCTGTTTGCTGCCATTCATCAGCACTAAATACACTTGAAAACATCTTCTGTTCAAAAATAATTGAGAGCCCCAAGGACAGACAGTTATACAAACACTTTGATTTCTTGGATGATTCTGTGCCCTGCCATCAGCAGAAAAACATCTGGTTTGAATGGTTTAGCCCACAGTAGAGAGAAGCAGAAAGCCTGCCAGCCCCCTGCCAAGAAGCAGTTTAACTTAGTCACTTATAGGCCTGTAACAAGGTCATGGTGCCTGCAGGTGTGCATCCTACATTATTACCAATCCAATTACAAATACAGAAGGATTTACAGCAAAATAATCTTTCTCTTCCAAAGCCAGCTCATTCCTCTTCTGGGGCAGGATGCATTTCAAGAGCTGTAAGCATCAACAGCACAAAACAGGGATCTTCCCACTTAAAAAATGGCTGAATAACTGGCCAAAGAATTGTTAATCAAGTGATTCTTCTTGTATTTTCAAAACTCATGCCCAGCCATGCAGTAGATCTTAAAGATGGCCAGCAGTAATGTGAAACAGATGTGCTGCTTTTAAACAGAAACAGGTGAACTGATTAAAGAGGAACCTAAAGCAGATGCATAAAATCTTTCCATTTAGAACTGAATAGAGGCATCCCTCAGAGCTTAAAATTCATATGGGACAGGCAGCAAATTAAAGTGGAATTATGGCCCAAAAATTTACACTACAGAATTTACATTTCAGTATCTACTGGAAAGTCTGCAATGACTTTCTTACAAGCTTTGCAGATCCAGGCACTCTTCCTCCAGCTGCTGGAGACAACTCAATTCGGAACAGCATACGATTCAAGCTGTATTCTCTCTGCCTTACACTTCACCAAATCACGGATCCTGGCATCAGAACTCAGGAAGTGTGTGACCAGAAGAAAACACAGTGCCCCTTTCCTCAGCTGCAGCACATTCATTCATAGCGCAGATATTGACTCGTTTTGTTCAACAGCAGCCTGACACTGGTCAGATGAGGAAGGAAAGGATCTTTACGGAGAATACTCCCTCCTTCTTCCCTCATCCATACATCTGGTGGTAGCATATGGAAGTCCAACTGCTTGAGTCATCTTCAAGCAATGTTAAAGCTCAACAAGTACCAAATAACTTCTGATATGGTACTTAGCCTGCCTCCCTCTATCCCCTCTGGCTTCATAAATAATCTCTATTGACTCTGCAGAGTAATTCATCACTAATCTCCCCAGGACACCTCGGCTGATTTAACACCAGCTTCACTTGCAGACATCAAGTGCTTTATTGTTTCGTCCTCTCGGAGAAAGCCGGCAGCCTGACTCTGAACATGCCTGGGAGACATGTTGCAGTTTTACATCAACTTTCCTTACAGACATCCAGTGCTTGCTGATTTTTCCTCTTTAAATATACCCATTGATTTAACTCACAGTAACCTCTCCCCTCCATTCCTCCCTCCCATGGATCAAAGCAGAATACTTGTCGCTCATTAACCATCTCCCCCTCGGAGGGGCTTTCCTTGGATCTTGCTTGGCTTTTGAGAAAGAAGCATGCTTGCCCACTACCAGAGAACCCAGAGTTTCGTTGCAGCTACATTAAGTTCCCATACCACAGGGATCACATTCCCACTCTTCCTTTTACCTTGGAGAAGGGGACTGATTATCATGTAGCAAGGCCATTTTTTACTTCAAACTGAACTGAACCACAGCGCTTCCAAAAGATGCCAGCAGTAGTAGCTGTGACAGTGAGAGGCACTGAACTGATACTTAGCTGCATCCTAAGGCCAGTTTGTATAGCTCACCCAAATCTTATCTTTTACTGACTGCAGACTTTTCCATCTCCACAACTTATTTTACACAGGTTACTAGTCAATTCACTCCCAAACTTTGTGACTGGGACATAAGCCTTCTCTGACTCCTGAGCTCTCCTAAGGCTCTGTACAACTGCCAAGTGCAGGCTGTTAAATAGCTATGTTTTGGGAACACTCATTGTCAATACCCCATAAAGGCAGGAAAAGTAGATGTCTCCCTGCTCTCAGAAGCAGTGTTCAGGAGTCAGGCTGGTCTAACTGCACATTCATCCAGAAGACAGAAAGATGCAGCCACTCTTTTCACATCCTCTTATCTCAGCTGCCAACTCATCTCATCAGTGAAGAAGACAGTGCCTTAACCTTTTGGAGACAACAGTTGGGACATTTTATCAGGTACATCTTACACCATTATATCAACATGTTGGGAAAAAATCCAAGCTCCTTTGCATCCAAATACTCTCAATTTCCTACCAAGAAGGATCTGGGGATGGCCGTCTTTCTGAGACAAGCAGAGCAAAGCAGGTCCAAACTTGAGAATCCCCCAATTACAGTGACATATCGATGAGGCAGTGTTCATCTTTTATCACAACCCTACCTACTGGTTCCTAGTTGTCATCTAAGACAGGATGGCACTGACTGACATGTTCAGTTTAACCTTGGGGTTTATCATACTCAGAATAGCAGGTAAAGCCGTTTACTGTGGACCTTAACTTAAAACCAGAAAATCTCTCCAGGAACCCAGGAGGCACTGTTTATTGCCTAATGTTTCTCAAGGCAGCACACTGACGAACTGAACTGCTGAGTCCAATGAGCTGTTTCTGTATCAAGATATGATCTGTACCCCAAAATATCATACTGCTTGGAATCTACCTTGAAATAAGGGTGAACACTGTATTGTCACATGGCAGAAAGGCACATGGGGACTGGGGGCACAGCAGAGGCAGTACAAGGAGACTGACATTGGCTGAATAGTTTGTCCTCTTAATGTCTGATCTGAAAGGGTTTAGAAGCACTAGGGAGGCACAGCTATGTCAGAGAAATACTCGGCCTCTTTAGTATTTTCTTGGAAATGGTGCACACGTCCCTTTTCTTCTCCCTTATTGATAGATGTTTGAATTGACAATCATGAAAGCCACAAACATTTGGTAAAGCTGCTTGCTAGTATCTATCTACTATCATATTCACATTTAAAAACATTTTTGTGTAGTCAGATTCTGCCTTCTGCTACTGCTGGTTCTATGACATTTTGCTAGCACTCCTACTGTTTCCAGCCTGTTGAGAGGGTTACTGCTGACTAGCTGAGCCACAGGAATAACAAACACGTTTCAGAAGAACACTGACATAATGATTTTGCTGGAATTCATGCAAAATAACTTGCACAAAAAAATTCTATAAGTATACATTCAGCCTTCTTCTGAGCAACGTGTCTCATAGAACTGGACCTCTCCAGAGCATTTCACAGAGCAAGACAGTAAGAGAGACACGTCTTAGGCATGTTCTGCAAGGACCATTTAATGTTCTGCAAGAACATTTAAGATATGGTACAACAAAAACACTAGAGCAGTGAAAATACTACCCGTTACTTAAGTAACGAAGGCAGGGAGAAGCCATACTGGTGAGAGAGGTCAGAGAAATTTCCAGCTGCTAGGTGAAAGCAGGGAAGCACAGGGATCTGGGATGACTCTTCCAGACCACACAAGTCTGACAGTAAATCTCCAGCCTGGTGGAAACTGAAGACATCAGGAAATTCATGAGGGATAGCAGATTTCCAGTGTGACAGAAATAACTGTATGTTGGAAACACCATTAAGAAGGCTAGATTTGAAGCTGGTGGGTGACTGGACTCACCACAGACAGATGGTTCCATGTCCTGGTTGAATTATGGCCTACTGGAAATACTGTGAGATAAATTGATCTTGTGCCTATTCAAACCTTTACAGTTGGCCTATGGGACAGAGCTTTGTTCTGGATCCATCAGACTCCATTAAACAAGGTCAATCACATCCTTCCAGTGCAGGAAAACTGAAAGATGATGCTATCAAGTAGTTGAAATAGAGCTTTTTTTTTTTATGAAAATAGAGATGAGAATGGGGAGGAAGGCTTACAAATCTGTTAACTGTCAGCAACAATCAGCTAGCAATTCAATTTTCATCTTTTTTCAGTCTCCCTGCAAAAGAAAGCAAGACACATCTATTTCTCACTCTAGCTAGGTTTTGGCTTGTTGGACCATATGAAATATGAGCTCTGCCTGACCCCTTCTAACACAGTGTTAGTAAAACAAAAACATTTGAGTAGTGGAGGGAAAGAAAACCCAACCCATGCAGCTATTTTACTTTAAAGGACACGACAGTTTAGTGTAAACAAAGGGGGAATAAACTACAGGGATATATGCACAGTAAGAGTCAATTGGAAACAGCTGTTGGCAGATACTGTGGCAACCTGAAAGCTGGGGCTGCAGCTCAGGGTTGCACAAACTCTCTTTGTCACCAATTTTAAATCCCCTGTCATTGCATATGTGTGCACACCCACATGCACACATGTGTAAGGTGCGCTGCAGGACCAGCAAGGGCATGGCAGCAGCCATTTGACTGGGAGTGTCTCTCCTTCAGGCTTTAACCTAAAGGAGGAAGAAGTGGGGTAATGAAAAAAACTGCAAAGGGGTCATAAAACCCTTTCAGTTACTGTCTGCAGCCAACCCTCCCAATTGTTGGCTTTAATAATAGAACCATATAAGCACAAAGAGCAGAAAAAGGCATGAACGTAGAGGTGCCATTTTAGTTCCCAAAGATTTTTGCTTTTCTAGTTGCCTTTAAAAGGGAAGTTTGGGGAGGAATAGCAATCCCAGACCAAGCTGTAAGATATTTCTGATATCCTGGGTGTAACACTATCTGTTACAAACATGAAATGATCTAAGCCAGTGATAGCCCTGGTGACTGGCGTTTCCCATAGCACAGCACAGCGAAGTTAACAGGGCACAATGCAAACTGGCAGGCTCCTTAGGGACAGTGATCTCAGTCTCCAAATCTCTATCATCCATGTTAGGCCTGCTAACAATAAGATCAGGATATTTCAAAGTGGAGAAGTTGGCAGCCACAAAACACAGCTTTTCACCTCTGGTTTGAGTCCAGACTAGCAACTTGAGGTGGACTGGCTTCACGGCACACCTGGAGCGAACACACGCTGTGCACCCTGAAGTGCAAGGTTCATGCTTCAGCGCCACTTTGCTGGAGGCAACAGAAGGGAAGACAAACCCACAGAGACTGTCCTTTTTCTCTCTCTCACCATTTAGAGAGGATTCCTCTCAGGTAAGAATGGGCCAGACTTGCATGGAAGAAGAGGTGGATGATAAAAAACATGTACTGCTGTCATCCACACTGCTTTTGTTTTGGGGATAGAAAGTGTTTACAAATAAACATCTAGTGTCATACCAAGTCATGGACCACCCTTCCTGGATTACCCTCAGCCCAGCCACCTGCACACATTATGTTACCACTTCCAGGAAATGTTCCATGTGCTTACATGAATTAATCTGAACCCCAGACACACTTTAGAAGGTCTGTCAAACAGCATGAAAATCCTGTTGCCCCTATGCCTCCCCATCCCTCTGCCCCAGCCTACAGTCAGCTGCCAACACCAGCAAAGACACGTGTTGGCAACTGATGCAGAGAGAGAAATGTAAGCCTTCCCTCATTGCTGGTTTGGATGGCGGGGGTCCTGCTGACATGCAGGCTAATGCCACATAAGTAGCATAATCAGAGCCTCCGTGGGTTTCACTAAGCAATGGAAAGAACTCACTCCAGTCCTGGTGGTCTGGCTGCAACTTCGCTTTTAACTGTTAGTTTGCTAGAGCAGACAAGCAATCGCATCTGTAAAAACCTGCATTTTCTACTCATCAGTGAAACAGTTTTATTGCTCAGTACTGCCACAGCTTTCCCAGGATCTGTCTCCAGCCCTGCTGCCCCTCCTCTGGCAGGAAAGGCAACTTTCTCAGGTGGATCAGTGTCTGCACAAATTTGATGTTTAGTGACAGACATCCAGCCCAGTACTCATATTGGTAGAAAGGCATGAAAAGCATATAGAGGGACCTGATGTCACAGCATTTGAAAGCATGAGAGTCACTGCAGTAGCATGCAAACGCAACTCCTGGCTTCCAAAACCTAATTTACAAATACAAGACCTAATTCTTGAATATCTCTTTTTACATTTACTACTCTTCTCACCAAGAGTCAAAAATGACAAAGATGAACACCACTCTCACCTCTGCTGTATTCCAGGGAGATGCTAAGAGCAGTATTTATTAAAAAACATACAGAACAGAGACAAATGACATACGCAGAGCATGGGGGACACATCACTTACAGTGAAGTGCAAGCACGGTCAGTGAGCTGCTTTCATCTGCCTATGAGTACTGATAGTTTTCTGGTGATGAGTCTTGAGATACATCTTGGTGTCTACATCTATCTGTTTCATGCACAAAATGTGTGTGTGCATATGTTTATTAAGTGAGCTAACACTTGAGAGACATGTCCTTTTATGATACTGCAAGAGAGGTTTCTCTGAAGCTCTGCAGGTATTAGACAACAGATCTAGGTGAGAAAAGAAACATGCCCGTTTGTTAATTAATTCCATCCCCTCTTGCCTCTACTTTGACCACAGGATACCCTGTGAGCTAAGGCTTAGCACACTTACTTGGAAAGGAGAATGACACAATTCTGGGCCCTCCGGCCGTCAATCACAGAGAGCTCTTTCACCTTTCGTGTGGAGAGGTAAAGGTCTTCTGTTG